TTTCCTCAGGTACGGTACCAAACCTGAAAAACCTCACAAAACCTGCTGTTGGAGTATGGCAGGTTTTGGGCAGTTAGGGTTAACGGACATACATTTACCACCCTTAAGATTGTTAACACGTGGCTAGGGAAAAAAGGAAAATATGCTTGTGCAAAAATTGGTTGATACGGCCTCGATTATTGAAATGATTATGTATCGCATTTACACTGCTGATGAACTGCAGAACTGTCACTCAAGTAATCCCTCATCAGTGGCGGAGGGTTACCTGCCACCTTCTTGAAAACCTTACACATGACAGGTGTATGCCTAAAATTACAAACGTGAACTAGGTGTTTCCACGTCATGCTTTACTCGGGCAAGCAAAATGCCTGCAGGTTATGTATTAGCCCAGTAGGACAAATTTGGAGATTACAAATTATCCTGACAGGAATCTTGCAGTCTAGGCCAGTGTGCACTGAAAGGATGTCAAACTTGTAACTGGCTCCATTGTCTCAGATGTTACAGTGTCCCGTTTTCTCAGTTTCAATATTATACCCCACACCTCTGGGCAAGTTTGGGAGCCATGCATATTGGACCACCAATAAATGGCTTCTTTAAACTGTGCACACGCACAGTACAGTGCCACTCAAATGACCCTAGTGGAACTATACCGGGAAGCTCATTGTCCCTCACATTTTTGCCGTTGTTTTTCTCGTTGCATTCACAGTCACCGATATCTCATAAAATACTTCTCATGCCAATTATTTCTTCGGTACTCAATTATATGCCCAACGAGAAGGGCCTGATTCCAAATAATCAACCATAGCCGGCTAACTGGCCATCCTTCAGTTGACATTGGTCAAATTATGGTTAACTGTAGTCATCGCTTAAACTTGCTCTCTGTTTCTCATATAGTCTAACCTACTAAAGCCAACAGTAAGACAATGGGCAAAACAGGCTACAACTATGGCTACTTACTCAAGCACACCAGTGGAAGACAGTGACACTGTAGCTACAGATTTACTGGCTCATCAGGCATGGGCTTGCGTTGGGTTTCCTGACTCAGCTCATATGTGGAACCGTCCAGAGTTTTTCTGGAGTAATTCTTTTTCTGACGAACCTTTTTTTTTTCAGCAATTGTCATCTTTTTCCATGTAAGAGCTACAGTGCATGCACAGCAATATTCCAAGCTTTGGCCTCAAATTTTGGTGTTTACATGTTCAGTTATCATCCCAGGTATACTCTGCCAGATACCATCTCTCTTTCAGTGATTTTAAAAGCCGTACCACAGACACAGTGTAATTTGCAGGCTCTTCAACTGTAATAGACATTGTATGCATCCTAAATGCAGAAAAATTTCCATGCATGGTTCACTGATGTCTACCATTTCCCATAATACATGCTCATCATGGCCAAGAATTGTCAGGCCTTTGTGCAAGCAAGAGTCTATTCAAGCAAACCTTCGTTCACTTGAATAGACTCTTTTTGAGTTGCTTATGAAAGATAATCGGTTCATGATGTCGAGTCACTTACAAGACTTTGTCAATCTTTGGCTGGAATATTATAGGAGGGTTCGTAAGCTTGATCTGTGCACGAGCAGTGCATCGTCAGCAGCAGAGGCTATCAAAGTAGACTGGTCAGCATGGACTCCACTGTCACAAAGGTACGAGTAAAGGACGCCCTCACTGATGACCCACATGATTTTTCATTGTAAAACTATATTGACCCCCGTCTTGTGGTATGTGCGACTGACCACTCAAAACAAATGTCATTGTTTGGATTTTGTCTTTTCTTTTCTCCAATCTGGTCACTGCTCTATATGTACACCCATGTCATGAGTAACCTGCATGCATGTTATACTGTACACTGCTAGATTTTTTTATAATGGGTACCTGTGGCCGTAAGTTCTCCCTGAATTTAAAATTGATAAATAGATGGAGGTAAATTATATTTGATGTTATTTTATGATGCCTTGTTCCCGTTATACAGTGAATCATCCCCGTACTTGCCACAGGTTCAGGAGTCTGTCCACTTCACATTGGGAGGCAAGGAGGCTGGACAAGAACCATCCTCCTTGGCATTGTTCCAAACCTCCTCATCTGAAGCAGGTAAATGAGTATCGTGTTCCTGTCTGCTACATTAATGTTTTGTCTGGCTAACATTTCCTTTAGTTTCAACATTATTGTATTATTTTCAGTAAAAAACGGTTTTTCCATGTCATTTGGAATGTTGATTCTAAAAACACAAAAATTGAAAAATACATTGCGGCACCATGACTGCTTTGAATTATTGTCATTTTCTTGTAGAATCTGTGCGTACAGTTTTTCAACCACCTCACATGTCCCATTAAGGCACATCTACGTGTACATAGTGTTGCCATTCACTGACCTCTGCTATAAAGTTCACATTGAAATTGATACTTAGAGCGACAGATCGTGACTGTGTCTTCTCTTTTTTTGGCTTACTCAAACAGGGACAGGCCAGAGCTTGAATCTGTTTGTTGGTGGTCCTGTCTGGAGCATGGCGTGGTGCCCTCATCCTGCCGGGGCGACCACTGAGAGTGAATATGCCGTTATTAGCTGTCACCTGTCTCCAAAGGACCACCATTACGCCACCAAGACGTATGTTGGGCCAGGGGCTGTGCAGCTCTGGTCATTCAGTGGACTACAAGAACCACAGTATGTTTTGTATTGTTTGAGATCACAAATGTATCCCTCTGTGATGTCTGTGAATTCTCTTTCCATCGGTAGAAAGATGAGTGCATGTCCACAGAAATATTCTCTGGCTGATGGTTAGTGCTAAATCCCTAGGGTGTGTGCACAACTGTATTCAGTTCTGAGGATTCAAAACTCTTCAAGCATATCAAGGCATTGGAAATATGTCCACTCTACATGAGCAGAAATAATCATTCTTGTCCCATGTATGACAGCAGGTCACATGGTAGTTATGAAGTTTTCATTCAAATTCATTTATTCATATTTTATTAAACCAATTGGCAGCATTAAGCTGAATTACATGCTTTTTACATTCATACCAAATTACAAGTGGAAATCACAAGATGTGAAAATAAACAATGAGTATGATTTCAAAATTTCTTAAAATGACAAGAAAAGTAAAAAAAGAATTACATTATTGAAAAACAAAAAAAGAACACAAAACTGCGCAAGAGTCCATAAAGAGCATGTTAGGTGGTTTGATTAATCCACTCATGTGCAATCCACATACAAGCAGAATCCAAAGACGTAATAAGGTTCATAAAAACACATCAAACAGCAAAGAAAGTCAAAACACTCACAATACAGCAGGCAAAACGTTACCATATGTAGTTTTCTTGTAAATATTTTGCATTTGGGTTTTTTGTGTCGTCTGTTCCTCATTTTACAGTCAGACCGTTGGCTAACCTTTGCCTTTTTTTTCTCGCACAGATCCCAGCCAAAATGTCAACTAGTGTGCTGTATGGCCCATGAGTATGGCTGCATATGGGACTTGAAGTGGTGCCCTTCGGGCTGTTGGCAAGCCGGGTCGGCCGACCCCTCAGCTCTCAGCAGGCTGGGAATGCTAGCTCTAGCCTGCTCAGATGGCAGTGTGCGACTCGTTAACATCCCGACTGCCGATTGCGTGGAAAAGCTCACCGATGCACGTCTTTCTCCGAGTAAGTTGTCAAATATGTGATTTGAATATTGTCTGCAAAATTGCAGTTCTGCTCAAACACTGTATAGACTAATCCGATTAGACACCCTCACTGCGGTGGTATCTCACTCACACACATTCTTCAGCTTGACGCTCGCGTGCATTTGGCAAATCACGACACCCTATTGGTCGAAGAGGTGTGTAACGGGCGTGTACCACGTGTCCACGAGCGTTGTGCCACCGCAGTAATGGATTCTTATTCTCGTGGTCGAATTACATGTACACTATACATGGGGGTTTTTTTATGTGTGATCTTTGCAGTGGTGGTGTGTATACATTCTCACACATTGGTAATTTGTTGAAATCGCATTTCACAGAGGTGGACCATTTTCTGGTATCAAATTTGTAATGGGTGTAAACTCTATTTTCTCCCTTAATATCAAAGACAAAACTAACTCTGCCTCCCGCCATGAAAAAGATACTGTAGAATCTAAAATGTGCAAAGTCTCAAAGTGTAAGCTGGAAGCAATTTTTTTGTAGGGAGTAACATTTTGTCACAATATATTGTTAAATTGTTAGATTAGAAACCATAGTCAGGGGATCTTGGAGCAACACATCAATTTTCTTTTTGAAAGACGGGTTATCATTCAGTTCTGATTTCAATTTCTTTTTTAATGAAATGTCAAAGCTGTTTTAAGAATGCAGCCATCTGTGACCCTGCGACCTCAGCACCAGGCTCTCTCTGCAACATATGGTCAGTGCTGGTGTGTAGACTGGGCACCAGACAGTGGGCATACCAAAATTGCTGCTGGATTTTCCAGAGGTATTAACTTACATTGTACATGTATCTGTTTTTGGATGTTTTCCTTAAGGAGATAGTAAAATTGGCAAACTGATCGAATTCATGATTTTTACTGAAATTCCATTCTTGCCTCATATGTGGTTGCTGTGTTAGTTCAACCTTACTTATTGCTTGCTTCATTGGGACCTTTCTCTTGAAAAAAATTGAAGAATGATAAACCATCCAAAAAGTTATGGAAAAACCTCGTTAATATATCTGTTCTACCATCGCAGTCCATGTGAAAATTCAGAATTTTAATCACATTGACACAATCAGTGCTTTATTATCTTGTACAAAGTTCTTTGTGCTATTTTTGTATATAGCCCTTCGATCATGTGGTTTCATATCTTCAGATCGGAGGTTAACTTTCAATGTTGTCTTGTCATCTCGGGGAAAATATTAGCAGAACTTGTTTTTAATTTGCCATGAAGGTCAGCTTAGGTTGTTTCCTTTAAACCTAACACTCTAGGTGCATTGTACATCACATTAAATTGTTCAGAGTTTGGTGTGGTTAGGGTTACTGTCCTCTGCCCGTTATACTACCAAGTTTGTAGAATTGAGGCTCACATGAGCGGTATCGTTCAAATGTCAGAAATCTGTGTTTGGACAGTGCTGAGATGTGGAAGAAGAACCTACTGCTTGCCTGTGAGGATGCGGCTCTTAGCGTTAGAGCCATCAACAGTAAAGCAATGCTAACATTGTTTGGATTGCTCGTCAGGTACTGTTGCTGTGTGGGACTTACTCAGCCAAAGTCCTCTACTTCGAGTGTCAGGGCCAGATGGAGTATATGCATTACCATACTGTTTGTTTGAGGCCCATGATACCAGGGTCGTCAGCCTGTCATGGTGTCCATATGGTGAGTTCTCGGACAGTCTCTGAGTTTATAATGTGAGATTTTTATTCCCGTTGTGCCTTGACTCTTCAAAGTATTGCATTACTCGGTTTGCTGTTATTTGGTTTGATCACTGGGCATATTCTGAGGCTAACACTGCATCCAGTGTGGGATATAAAGCAGTGCCTGAATAAATCTATGCCATCTGATTGGTGAATCTCCGATCATGAAACATGAATTATTCAAACATTGGCACATGTATGCCCATTTGATAGAACATGGAATCCCTTGCACGCATGGTCGTTGTAAACACAGCTCTTCAGACAATGTGGTCGATGCTACTGATAAACACGAAACATTGCTTCCTTTTGTAAGAGACGGAGAAGTTTTTCAAGTCCTCAGTTTCTTAACATGCAAATTGAATATGCTGTAAAGCAATAGGAATTTTTGAATAAGTTGACATGTCTATAGTTTCACTAACTGATTTGAAACTGTCAGGACAATTTTCTTGTGCCGATTTAAACCAGAGTGAGGAGGGTAATCCGTGAGTGTGGAAGTTAGAACTCAGGCATTGTTCAAAATAAATAATGAATCTTGCATAATCATGCAATGGAGAGAATTATTTCAGATGGAATAACAGACAGAATGTTCCATTCCATTTTGCTTTGCCTTGTGGAATGGAAGAATCCTTCTATCACCCTCAGGAATGAAATTTTTGTTACCACTGCATAAATGTGAAGCAGGCGTTGACCATGGTTGTAGATAGATTCGGATAACTCTGCCTGACATGGCCTCTGATTGACATGAAATACTAGACTGAGGTACTTGAACATTGAAATCAACAGACAGTGGAGCCAACTCCTAGGATATTGTATAGATGTATCCCAGTAGTGCATATGAGCGAAACAACCTGTCGGGACTCTCATTTAGAAAACTACTCAGTTGGTCCACTTTCTTTAATTTGGCCGACCGTAAGATGACATCCCATGTAATTGTTATGTATTATATACTTGCATCTTGACTTTATTTAACGTCTTCATAGATGCCAACTTTGTTGCCACAGCTTCATTTGATCGCTGTGTCAAGTTCTGGGATGTACGCACGCCCGAGGTAGCGTTGGCTAGTTATTTACATGGTCCGTATACCAGCTGTAAGTGGATGAACTACTTCAATGTTGTTGCTGCCTCCCATGACTGCTCCAGGTAATTTGTATCTTCTGAGAAAAGTGCTTCTTGGAAATAAGAGTCCATAAAATCTTGTCAAGATAAAATGTGTGTAGACAAACTCTATTTTGTTTTATTTCTTTCTTTAATGCATGTTGTTGCTCGTCAGCGCAACCATCCCTGAAGGTCACCCTGTCAGTTAGACCTTCAAAATTACTGAGGTGTGTCAGTACTTCAATATATTCAACTGAGACAGATGTAAGAGAAAAAAATCTGGGAAGTTTGGTTGTTTGGTCGGTCTATTAAAAAGGATCATGTGATTTGTGTCACTTTGAATATTGGAGAATGCTCTTGCCTTTTTCCAGAAATGTAACTGGCAAGTAAACACAGACATGGAAACTGAGCTGGGTCAACTGGATATCTCGTCCGAAAATTAGTTCTCTTTTTGGGTCGTCTGATTTGGAAGAGCCTTTTAGATTTGCTGGAGATACAGCAGAAGACTTCATCTCTGTGCATTAAAAAATTTGGCCAGCAATTTCTTTAATAATGTGTAATGGAATTTTCTTAGGAATGTAGTGACCATAAAGCAGGGTTCAGTTTATTGAAACTTAGGAGACAGACCGCTCACCTGCGGGTAGTAGGAGTGGTTTAAAGTCAAATCCCAGAAGGCCAATGGGGTGGTTGTCATGGCGAGCTGGAATTTGTAGGAAATGATACTCACAGTTTTCCTCAATGCTTGTCATGGTTTCATGAGAAACTTGCGAGCCTTTCTCTGTTTTCATTGTTCACTGTACATTTACCCAACCCAACAAAAGTCACCAGGGCAACTTTTGAGCAAAAGGCCATTAAGAGAAACTTATGCTGAGTAAATCAATTTAAACGTTCGGCATTTTTCACCCGCATACCATTTATTTTTATCCAGACTCCATAAACAGACTTCATCTAAACAAAGAATGCAGCATGCTCTTTGTATTGTAAAAAAAAAGAGAAAAAAACTACCCAACTAGCGATACGAATCACTATGCAGAATCATGTTACAAATAGTGTATAGGCAGAGGCACTCACTCATATGTCAGAATTATGTTGCCTTTTTACATAGTGGCATTCTGAACAGAGCCTCTTGCTACTTCACTGAGGGAAAGGTGACAGAGATTGGTCAGAAGAGACTCTTCACATCAAAGAGTACATGCTGGGTAGGTCTTGAGATTAAGCACTTCACATGATGGACTATATGCTGGGTATTCAGATTAAGCACTTCACATGGTAGACTACATGCTGAGTGGGTA